CAAGACGAGAGACCCGCGCCCTGCGCTACACATGACTTCATAAGGGTCCGTCCATCGCCAAACACATTGCTTCCTTAAGTGACGAAGCAATATTGGCCTCCTGGGGCCCTCGCGGGGCCCATGTTGGAGCCTTCTTAAGACGTCTTCGGGGCCTCTTGAACCGTCTGACACAGGCGTGGCTACGAGTTGGCCAATGTTTGCCAATGCGGCGCTCGTGGCCAAGATGCAATGGAACGTCGCAAGACGCAGACTAACACAAGTCAATCATGTGCTTCTATGGTTCCGAAACGACTTCGATTTTTTTTGTCGAACCTGCGTTTTGAGGACGTCCCGCGCGAAACGCTTATGTTCTATTGTTTCTATGGGTTCGAACCGATTTGGATCCTGGTTCGAACGTGCTTGTCGAAGAAATTGCGCACGAAACGAACCGAATCCGAACCTGGACCGAACCTGTTTTTCAAGAACGTCCCGCACGACACGCTCACTTTACTATTGTTTCGCACAGAGCTCGTACCTGTTTCGAACATGCTTTCCGAGGTCCCGCACGAAACGCTTACTGTTATATTGTTTCGAACCGATTTCTATTGTGTCGAACCGACTTTCGAAACTGGCTCGGACCATGTTTGGGAGGAAACTCCACGCGGTTCGCCGTTTTCGAACCGCCGCCCCGTTTCGCCTTATAGGAATCTAGTTGCGGTACAGCTCCGAGGTGGCCCGCCCCCTGCTGGCACAGCTCTACTCCAGTCGCATTGTACCAAGCTCCGCGCGACTAACGGGGCACCTCTGGTCCACGCTGCGCCAGCGCGTCAAACATTGGGCAATCTTTTCTACTGTGGCACCGTATTCGGGCGTCTTCGGCCCTGTCAGGCCACTCTGGTCGCTGCTTGGCAGCCTCCGAAGCTGTTTGAGCGGCGGAGGGGGGCCTGGGAGGCTCCTGAGAGGGGACAAACATATCGTGGGTCGGGAAATCTGGGAGGGTACCTGGGCCCTGTTGTGGTCCTCCTCCTCCGCTTCCTTCTCCCCCTTTTCCGTTTCGTCGTCGTCCTGGTTCTTCCTCCTCCTCCTCCTCCACCTTCTTCTCCTCCTCCTCCTCCTCCTCCTACTCTTCTTCCTCCTCCTCCTCCTCCTCCTCCTCCTCCTCCTTCGCCTTCTTTCCTCCCATATACGACATGTTGGGACCTCCGCGGGCCTCTTGGGGACCTCGCAGAGGAGAGCGGCAATTGCAACCAACACCCTCGATACCGAGTCTGCTCTGAGCGGGGCCGCTGGTCTGACCCCAGCTCCGCTGTGAACGGGTCCCCGGGCAACGCTACGCTGAATTGGAGTGTCCTGTGGGATGGCACGGGCCCTCCTCCTCCTTGTCGGTCTCGTCGTCGGACTTGCGGCGACATTCATGTTTCCGGAAGGCTCTCCGGGAATATGATGATGGTGTGGGGTCGTATTGGAGTCCTCGTGGAGGTTGCCAGGGTGCCTCGAGTGAGGCTTCAAAGCCTGAAGGACAGCCAAACTAAACCATTCGGAACGGTTGTCATGGTGGCGCGGCTTCGAAGTAACAATGACGAAACGAGAACGGTAGGAGATGGGCAGGCCACGGCAAGGAATTGTTCAAGGAGCGGAGTTGGGGTGCGAAAGGAACTGGAATGGCCTTCGACCCATAACTGAAACGTGCCTGGGTAGTGGGTGGAGGTTCAGTGGGATGTCGAGGCAGGCCTCGCGGAGGCCTCTTGGGGCCGTTGCTTGGCCTCTTTGGGTCCGTGTTGAAACCTCCTAGGGGGTCGTGGGGGCCTCTTGGAGTTCTTTTGGAACCTCGAGGCAGCCTCTGGGAGCCTTCCGGGTGCCTCCTGGGAGACTGGATGTTTCCTTTGAAGCAGAGCAAAGGATGAAGAGGAGACTGCTCGGCCGAACCTGGGCACACTGAGGACAGAACGTTCCAGGGAACAGCTCGGTCTACGCTCGCACCGCCGCTCAACTTGGTATGTGAAACAACAAGAATTGCTGCGACCTGCTCTATATGGCTCAGCAGAAAGCCGCAACACCCCCGACGGTCGCACACGGCAGCAACCCATGCATATTCGCCCACGTCGCAGCAAAGACTGCGTATCACTGAGTGTTCAGGTCGTCACGTACAGCTTGGTCGTCGAAGTCATCAGTGCTGTAGCATAGACCTTCTCTCAAAGACTTCGGAACTCCACTCCGGCCTCTGGCATACAGCCGTTCACGTCAGGTCCAGATACAACATGTGGAGATGTCCCGAACGGTATATCGGGCCTGTAAAGGCCATATCATTTAGAAGAAATAAAACGAGTCGGCATTGGCGGCGTTGAAGAACTCTCCCTGGGTCCCGCACTCGCCCGCACCATCATCCTCTCCCCCATCTTTCTTTCCATTCTAAACGTCAGGAGAAGTGTTGTCCAGACTTTCGAACAAGTTGCACGTGCTGCCACACCCGCGGGCGGAGCACGTGTTGTTCAAAACAACTGGCCCGCATACCAGCTTGAAAAGCGCGGGTAACGAAATACAACATGTACCAAACTCGCTCTACGAACGCACGCCATTACGGGTGCATCGACCTCGCTGCGCAGAACACCCCGATCCTGGAAACATGCCCCCTGCGGGGATGGGACGCGCGAGACACAGCATTCAAACTAAGCCGAGGAAGAAGGAGGGGAGGGGAACCGAAACTGTCGGGAGGTCCAGGGCCTGGAGAGGGGAGGCGGGGGCACCGACGGAAGGCTGCCCCGAGCGGCGGGGACCCACACAGCGAGACCTTCGTCGACGCGGTGCCGACGGCGGGGCCCGACCCCTTCGGAGAGCCGTCCCCAGCGGGCCCGCTCTGGCGGCCCGCCTTGCTGACCAGGTGGTCCTGCTGCGCCCCTGGCAGGCCCTCGGCGCCGCCGCCGTCGCGCCTCCGGCGCACCAGGCAGCTCGGGGGAGGCGCGCCGCGCGGCGAGGAGGCCGAGGCTTCCTCCTCCTGCGAGGGGTTGGAGGCCGTGCACCGGTCTTTGAGATGCCTGCGCTGCTGGCGGCGGCGCTGTGCCCTCGTCCTCCGACGGAAGGCGCCCTCTCCCGCCGCCGCGCTGCTGGCGCCGCCCTCCGAGGCCATGTCCGTGTGCTCGCTGGCGCCGCTGAGCTCGGCCAGGCTGGACGACGAGGCATCCACCGAGGAGGTGGAGGCGGCGGGGTCGGAGCTGGGCCTCCGAGGCAGGACGACGGGATCCAGCCACGGCGACCTGCAGTCCAGGAAGGTGTTCTTGGTGACCAGGACTGAGTCGACGGGCACGGCCATGGTCTGCACAGGGAGGCTGGAGTCTTGTCGCACCCCAGGCGAGTCAGGCTGCGAACCTCGGCTTGACTTCCGAAGAAGTGAGCCCAAGTTGCCAGGCTACGCAGGAGCCTCCTGGGAGAATCTTGGGGCGAAGAACTCGACCTTTTGGTTCATGCTCCCCCTCTTGAGCCCATCTTGGGGCCGTCGTTAGGGCCTCTTGGGCCGTTTTGGGCGCCCCTGGGGCCGTTGTGAAGTCCTACTAGGCCGTCCAGGGGCCCTCCTGGAGGCCTCTGGGTCCGTCCGGAGTCGGTTTTGGAGGCCTCATGGGCAGTCTTGGAGCGTCGGAAACTCGAAAAGTGGAGGACCCCAACCCAAGAAGGAAATCTCAGATTTCTGCATCTCGAGGCACTCGTCTGGGACCTCTGGCGCCCACTGAAGCCGGCCCGGGCCGTCCTGGCGCCTTCTTGTGGCCTCCTGAGGGCCTCTTAGGGCGAAGGACCGGAAATTTGGGCTCATGCTCCCCATCTTGAACCCATCTTGGGGCCGTTGCTAGGGCCTCTTGGGCCATCTTGGGCGCCCCTGGGGCCGTTGTGAAGCCCTGCTTGGCCGTCCTGGAGCCCTCCTCGGGTCCGCTTGGCCCGTCCTGAGGCGGTATTGGATGCCCGTTGGTCGTCGTTGATTGTCTGGATCACGGAAAGTAGAGGGCCCCGAAAACATTGAAACAGCCTAGGCGAATCACAGATTGTTGCCTCTCGGGGCACTCGTCTGGTGACTTGAGCGCGCACTGCAGCCTGCCCGGGGCCGTCATGGCGCAGCCTGGAAACCTCCGGAGACCGTTCAGAAGGCATCTTCGGCGCTCTCGGGGTGTGATAGACCCTGTCTGGTAGACTGTCGTACCAATGTGCGGGCCATCTGTGCGCCCACGATGCCAAGTCGGGAGCCACAAGAGCGCCCCCGTACCCGTGGCCATGCATAAATGTATGTCTGTATGTTTGTCTGTCTTTCTTTCTATCTGTCTGTCTGTCTGTCTGTCTGTCTGTCTGCATGTATGTATGGATGCATGTGCATGTGCATGTGCATGTGTATATGTGTGTATGCATGCATGTATGTAAGCATGCAAGCATGCAAACATGCATGTATGCATGTATGCATGGCTGCGGATATGTATGTATGTATGCGTGCATGTATATATGTCTGTACGACTGCGCGCATACATTCACCAATGTTGATTGTACACATGCATCTATGAATGTATGGATGTGAGTGTATGTATGCATGTAGCTATGTGTTATGCGTGTGTAGATATGCACAAGTGTCCGCTCATGTATGCATGCTTCTATGTATGCATGTATGCGTATGTATGGTTGTGTGTATAGGTATGCATGTATGTAAGGATGTATGCATGTACGTATATGTGTGAACGCATGTGTGTCTGTTTGTACGCGTGCATGTATGAATGTGTGTATGTATGTGTTTGTATGTATTTGTGTATGTCTGAATGTACGTATGTATGTAGGTATGTATGGTTGTTTGCATGTGTGTTGTATGCATGAATGTGTATGTAGGTATGTGTGTACGTATGTGTATGTAAGTATATCTTATATATGTGTCTGCACGTGCATGTATGTATGTATGTATGTATGTATGTATGCATGTATGTATGTATGGGTGCATGTATACGTAGGTGTGTATGGATGTGTGTGCGTATGTAGGTATGTATGTATGTGTATATGTATGTATGCTTATATACGAAAATTGTATGTATGCATGTCTGTATGTGTGTATGTATGCATGTGTAAAACATTATAGACACGTTGCTATAACGGAAACGGCAAGTTTGCATAATAGAATAGACATACACATACATATACATAGTCGGGGAACTTGGATCCGGGGTGCTGTCTCAAGTAAAGAAAATCCGCAACTAAACGGCCAAGAGGGCACAAGACGGCCCAAGAACCCCAAACCGGCGTAAGAGGACCCCAAACAGGCCCAAGGGGGCACCAAGGGACCCCAAGTGTTCCCCACAGGAGGCCAAGACAGCCTCAAGACGACCCAAACGAGTTGCATCATCATCATCGCCAGCAGAAGCAGCTGAATTAACCTCATCATCAACATCATAATCATAATCAACATCAATATCATAATAACCATCATCATCATCAAAATCAACACCATCATCATCATCGTCATAATCATAACCGTCATCATCATGACAACATCATCGACGTCATCATCATCATCATCATCATCATCATCATCATCACAATGATCAGCAACACCATCATGAATATCATCACCATCACCAAAGTCCCCACGCCGAAACCGTGTCAAACACCACGTTGGAGGCCGAAGTCCCCGCAGAGTCGCCGTCAAGTCCACGCAGACGTCCAAAAACAAGGCGCATCGCCCTATCTCATTTCGAGGGATTTCTGCCGGCTGGCTTCCCCAACGTGCAAACGTAATGGTCCTCTTGCACGCTCGGCTGGCGCAATTTACGCACGACTTGTGGCATTTCTTGGCGAGCAGCGACGACGCGTAGCCGCTCATATTTCAACCACGAAATCTTTCTATCTCCAAGCTGCCAATGACGAGGGTTGGGTCGTGCATTTTTGAAACGTGAAATTGTGCATTCTTCATTGCCAACGGCGACGTGCAATCGTGCATGGGTCAACGACGAAATTGTTCCTCATGCTTGCGACCGTCGTCGTTCATCTTTCAGGCGCACACCGGGTCAAACATAAAGCACCACAAGCACGATCCGGTGTTCAAACTGGCCAGAGAGCATATAAACTAGGCCACGATATCTCAGAGCAAGGCGAATGGAGACAACGGTAACTCAAAATCAGTCCACAGAACCCACCCAAGGTCCGAACACACACACACACACACACACACACACACACACCCACACACACACATACACACACACACACACAAGTTTTCCGAGCTGCATCCGTCCGTGGCGACTAAGGGGCCACCAGAAGCCAACTACCGTCGCCTCGGCTCGCCCTCCTCTGAGCATCGGACCGTCGGAACATCGGAGCCGAATCGGACTGGGCTGGCCGGAATCGAGTAACACCGAGCCGACATAAGAAATCCACGCAAGCGATGTCTTTCTCCAGAGCCTGCCTTTCATCCCGACCCTTTCTCCAGGGCCTGCCTTTCATCCCGAGCCGTTTCTTGACGGTCCCAAGGCAAGGCGAGGGCCCAAAGATGGAGGGAGGAGGGAGGGAGAGAGGGAGAGAGGGAGGGAGAGAGGGAGGGTGGAGGAGGATCGAAGAATACGATGCGGGCGCGTCGGGGGCTGAGCCGGGCCGGCCGGACCGGAGAGAGCCCCAGCCTGCCCGTGCCGCAGGCCGCGCCCGCGGCGCGCGGCCCTCACAGCAGCGGGCCTGGGTACTGGGTGGCCCCGAGGAGGATCGGAGGCGACGACGGGGGCGAATAGCCCAGGGCCTGGTGTTGCTAGAATCGGCGGCGAGCGAGGGGGGGAAACGAGAGGGAGGAGGCCTCTTCTCAGAAGGCGGCGGGGCTTCCCAGAAGCCCCCTGGCCTTCTGGGAAGTTGTCTACGTCCGTGGGGTAGGCTCTCCGAACACCTCCCAGAAGGCACGGGGGGGCCTCCGAGCATTCTGAGGAGGCCCGCCCCTCCTCACTTCCCCCCCCCGCGTGGCTCGCCGCCGACCAGGGCCGGGTGTTGCTAAGAGTGCGCCCGTGCAGGGGGACTTCCGAGCATTCTGGCTGAGCCGCCCGAAATGGGCACGGACAGAATGGGCACAATGCCCAACAACAAATGTTGTCCCAAACCAGCAGCGGCCGCTGTTGGGCAGGCGGCCTTCTGTCTCGAATGGACACAGGCCGCGGCGGCGTGGATAGCGAATCCTGTTCAAAATGAACAGGAACTGCAGTTGGGCATTGTACCCATTCTTTCCGTATCCGTTTCTTTCGTGCAGATCTGAGGAGGCCCGCCCCCTCTCACTTCCCCCCCCCCTCGTGGCCCGCCGCCGATCAGGGCCGGGTGCTGCTGGGAGTGCCCCCCTGGCCCAGGGTGCCCCGAGGCTTAGGAGGCAACTACTGGGAGGTTTTCGTCGGAAAGACCAACGAGGATTAAGCCCCATTTGGGAGCTGTTGCGCTGGAGTGGGCCCCGGACTAAGCAGGATTAAGCCGGATTAAGCGGAATCAAGCGGGACTAATCCGGAATAAGCGGGATTGAGACGGATTAAGCCAAGCCGGACTTCGGACCAGGGCAAAGTCAGAATTTGACCTCCCAGGAGTTGCATCCGAACGATGCCCTCCAGAGTGGAGCGGACACCTGGGGGCGCCTTGAGCGAGGGGGTACCGCCAGCAGCCCCCGACGGGGGAGGGCAACTCCTTCGGCCCAGAGAGCACCGACGGCCCGTGCCTTCGGCGAAGCTCCCGGGCGGATGCGTGTCAGGCCCGCCGCGGGGCTGTGCTCGCCCCTGCCGCCGCCTCCGAGAGGGATGGGCGTGCCCCCGCAGGTGCCCGGCGGCCATGGGGCGCGCGCGCGGCGCTGCAAGCGGGCACTCCACAGGACGGGGCCCTGAGAGATCGAGGGGCACAAGTCATGGCCCGAGGCACGTGCGCGGCCCAGGGGGGGCCCAGAGGACGCATTGAACTGACAAGAGGCGGCAGACAATCTGGGGAGACGTCGTGGCCCTGGCCATGATGTCCACCCCGCCTATAGTCGTCCTTCCCCTCTGGGCCGCCCCCGACGAGATGCCCTGCGAGCCGGGCGCCGCACTCCTGTCACACCGGGCGGGCGCTTCCGCCTGGTCTCGGGCCCTGGGGGCCCCCCGGGTGGGTCGGGCGCGGAAGCTCGCGCCGAGAGCGGGCGTCTGGGGCCGAGATGGTCGTCGTGTTGCGATGCCGCGGTGCCTCTGCAGCGTCAGGCCTGCGGGCTGAGATGCAGGGGCTGTAAGGCGAGCAGGCCCTGAAGAGTGGAGCAGCGCAGGCCCATCCCCATCCCCATCCCCATCCCCATCCCCATCCTCCTCCTCCTCCTCCTCCTCCTCCTCCTCCTCCTCCTCCTCCTCCTCCTCCTCCTCCTCCTCCTCCTCCTCCCCCCTCCTCCCCCTCCTCCTCCTCCTCCCTCCTTCCTCCTCCTCCTCCCTCCTC